TACTTCAACCGCGCGTAAAGGTTACACGCGCCCATTTTTTTTTTAAATAGCCATTGACTCGTTGTAGTGTTATCAATAAAAAAAGTTTCCGGGTTCACTAGTTATATAATAAATGCTTATAAATTAAGTACATAACATATACTTGATATTGAAAACGTAGTTTCGTCATCGATTTTTGAAAGTTCGTAAAATCGGTTATTTTAATTACTAAATACCTGTATCCATATAAGGGAATGTAGATCAGTATAAAATACTAAAAGCTTAAGGTATAATGTAGTGAAAGTTGCATTGCTCAACTTATTTATACGTAATATACCTACTGAAAGTTTTACATATCTTTATTGGACCAATAATAAAAGAAAAAGGAACTAAAGTTCCTGTGTTACATAAAAAGCTTTCATTATGTCACTGTTATTACATAATAATTATTAACATAATCTCTTTATTAACATTGCGCATGAGCAAGGCAAGGTTTAAAAAAATTAAACCAATATTATATTTTTTTTAAATAGCAACAGTTGAGTTAGCTCTGTTCAGTTCTTTATTCAAAGTATTTAAATACAGTATGTTCTTGACTTGAAACTTGAGAGGGATGTTGCCAGTATTAAAGCCTATTTTGTAGATATTATCTGTAATATTCTACTAATATTATAATCGCGAAAGTTTGTGAGAATGTATGGATGTTCTTGTTTAGCTTTTACGCAAAAGTGACTGAACGGGTTTTGGTAAAACTTTACAGGAAGTAATACATCTTATATAAGAATAAAACATCCAACGCTATATATGTCTAGAAATATAATAAAATTCTGAGTCGAATCTGTACATAAAATTTTTTTTTGGAAAATCTTATTAAAATAGTCATTATTATCGATACCAGAGGCCGAATCTATAGTTTTTAGGATTTTCGTCTGTCTGTCTGTCTGATGATAGCTGGTTATCCGGGTCAACATATAGAATACTTTTTACATATTGGAACCCGAGCGGAGTGAGGGTGAGTCGCTACTTATATATAAAATTTAAATACATATTATTAAAAAAAATAATGTTAGAACAACTTTGTTTTTGTCACCATTTTATTGTACCTAGTGATTATAAATACGTATCTACATAACTCTACACTTTGAATAATTACCTATTATTTTTCTAAGTACAGTATGTACGGTTTGATGATGAGTTAGATATATTTTGATAGCGTTCCTAGGTTACATTGTTGTAAAGTAACCTTTTTTAACCTACTTCAAATAAAGAGATTACCAATTTGCTTTATTGTGTTTTTCGTTCGTCGTCTATTGTGAATTTTTATTAGATTTTACAATTATCTAGAACGAATCTACCCAACAGCGGAATATTGCTTTCAGGGTGATTTTTAAGTTTGTGTGACTTTATATTATTAAAAAAACTAACTTTTGACTCTACTTGTACATTAAGTATGTATCTGACGACCGACGGCGTCTTTTTTTGTAAAATCGTGTTTTTTTTTGCGAAAAAATATAAAAAATGCTTTTTTTTTTCAGATAAGACCTATACAGATAAATATTCCAAAAAATCTAATCTAAACACAAAATTCTAAAAGATCTAAATCGAAATCGAAATTGTATATATATACAAAATTGCTCATTAAATATTATAAGATAATACTAGTTGTAGTCTCGAATTACGATATACATTTGCCTGATGCGCAAACTCCTAATTTAATTAGGTATTATCTCATTGCCTATTGTACAATGGAAGCCTAATAACCTGCCTTGGTTTTGCTTTTAAGTTTTCAAACTTTATTTATATTCAAAATATTGAAATCTTTATGAAAAACTAGCTTTACCCGCGGCTCCGCCCGCGTTCAGATGACCAAAAACCAAATTCTTAGGGTTTACATATTAGTGTACTCTTACATTGCAGTTTTTGTATTTTTTCTCAGAAATGAGATATTTTCACGCGGTAAAAAGTATCCTATATGTTGATCCGGATAACCAGCTATCATACCAAATTTCATCAAAATCCCTCCAGTGGTTTTTCCGTGATGCGGTAACAGACAGACAGACAGACAAAAATTCTAAAAACTATAGATTCGGCCTCTGTATCAATAATAATGTCTATTTCAATAAGATTTTCCAAAAAATATTTAATGTACAGATTCGGCTTAGTTACAATTTTATTATATGTATAGATTAATAAGATATCAATTAAAACAGATGACTTTTTGTCGCTAAAATATAAACTTGAACGGGTTGAAATATGGAGCACCATTTGGTAGTCACCTAAAGTACCTACACTCGATTATTATTTAAAACGTATGTAGGGACCCACCCTAGGGAAGAGAGTGTAAGTCGCCAGTATATCATCGAGAGTTCCATCCCGAGGTTTTTGTTCCTTGCTACAGATTTTCCGTAGAAGCCGTATTATTAAGTAATACTATGTTTATTATTAATGTTTTATAGCATTTTGAAAGAAATAGAAGAGGCTGACAGCAAAACAACAAAAACTTGTAACCTAAATTGTGATCTTTGGTGCCATAAATTATTGTTTCTGCTTCATTTTTACACCACAGCTTAGTTAAATAATGAAAACTAAAAAGAAAACAATAGGTACAAGAATAAATAATTAAAATCTCAGTCTAAGCCTTAGACAATGTAGCCTTGAAACAATAGCTATGACGAGCACATCTCATTAAATCAGTATGCATTTAGATCTTAGCCATTTTTCACATTTTCTCTTGACGTCTCGCGTTTTTTGATATCTAAAATGTCGATTAATTTAACTTTTACCAAGATACCTTTCTAATTATCAAAAACGTAACATAAAAATAACTCATAGCCTCTTTTTGCAACATTTAAATGATAATAATGAAGAAAATAAATGAATTTGGCATTGAGTTTTTTATTTTTAACCGATTTAAAAAAGGGATGAGGTAGATACTCAGGCTGTATGTTTTTTTTGTGTAGGTATATTAAGTGTGAACCGATTTTTATTATTCTTGCTTCAATTAATTTTTCTTCAAATCTTATCTTTATATAATCATCTTATCCTACTATCCGTATTAGTATTATAAATGTGAAAGTTTGAGTGAGTATGGTTATTTGTTACTCTTTCACGCCAGAACGACTGAACGGATCTGGATGAAATTTGGCACAGAGATAGATTATAGTCTGGAATATAATAATATATACTTTTTAACCGGCCACTTAATTTTAGCCGCAAGTAATATATAAGTAAAAAGATTCTATCGAAGGTGAAATTTTATACTCAAAATGCCTTTACAAAATACGTGAAAACGTTAAGTCGCATTTTGCTCAACAACAAAAGCAAAAAACTCAAGTCAATATTGAATAATAATTGCGTTCTTTTACCACTTATGTCCTAAGAGTTTTTGTGACTCCTGGTCCAACGAGCACCTGGAACATTCTACAGGTTTCTATATTTTCTTTACATCATGCCATCTGAATGTCACCTGTATGTATATGTATATAAAAAATGAAATGTCCGTCTGTTACTATAAAATTAACACATTGTACTTGACGCGTATGAGATATGTATAAATAAAATGAAAAAGTGTTCCATACTCGTATTTGCTAAGTAATAAATACCTTATGCAATTTCCACCACATTTGTTTAGGCTATATTTTTCGAAATGTAATTGAATATACATACATATATTTTAGGTAGAAATTTTATTTTCGTACTTTAATAATATCGCTACTGTTTTTAAATCGATATTTTATCTATATATCATTATTTAAAGATTAAATTAAAAATTAAAAAAAAACCGACATGTAATACTTGTCAAGCTCTTTCATTTGTTACCCATATTAAGTGAGTTGTGAAAAAATATGTAATCCGCCATTTTGTGGCGGCGGCCATCTTGGACCAATTTTCACTGAACATAGCTAAGAACACTCCCGACCCTCCCGACTCACCTTTCAAACAAAAAAAAAACAAAATCGGTTCATCCGTTCAGGAGCTACGATGCAACACACAGACACGTCAAACAAACACCCCGGTCGTTTTTGCGTCGGGGGTGAAAAATACATACCCTCAACCGTAATATAATGTAAAAATGTAATGTTAACGCTCGATAAGCATTAGTCAAAGTAAGAATATTAATATTTCATTAAGAGTGTACTATTTTTTTATTTGTACCTATGTAGAGTATAATCTATGGAAATACAAAATCGATTTTTAAAACACTCTGACTAACAGCTACAAGCTTCAGAATCCTGATCGACGTTAATAAAAATAGTTTATATAAAGGCTATTCTTATTGACATGCAGAAGAAAAGTCGTGGACGAAAATTAGTTTAAAATTTGAAAACGCAAATATTACACTATCTAACACTGTAATGTGCATAATTCGAACCAGATTTATACTATTTTTACGTCATCTGCATCCGTAGCGTACAGTAGGTATGTGTCGGTTTTTTGTATCTTTGCATTTTATTCGATGCCAGTTTAAATTGTCGGAAATGAAGCTTTTTTAAACTGCTGTATGTTTAATATTAGGTATATTTATGCTAGAGTAGCTATTGCAAATTCGTTGATGGTGAATCATCTTACCATGGTTTATGATGTTTTAAAGTAAAATTGTAATATATGAAGGCCATCATTTGGGGTTGTTTGTTTGTTTGTTGTTATATTTTTTAATTTTCGATAATTAATTTTGACCTAGGTATTAACTACTCACTCACTTCGTTATCTCTTCCATTAAATCGCAAAAAATACTTTTTTTTGTTTAATTTGTTTAATATATATGTATAATATGAATTGTTAGTTCAAGATCAGTATTACTTGCTAAAACTCTTACATCAGATTTCACTCGCTTCGTCTTCGCTCTCCCTAGTGCCTATCAGTAGCTATGTGGCACTTCTGTTCATAGTCTATTTGTCTACTTAATTTTATTTAAATCCGTCATTTTGACGTAAAATAGTAACAAACTTACAAACACATACAAACTTTCGCATTCATAATAAAAATTGGATTATTCAAATATTTGTATGGACATTTCACAGGTGGCTGAACGTCTACAAGTGGACGTTCGCAGGGGATTATCATGGAGGGAGGCAAACGATCGTATGAACTTTGTGGGTCCCAACGAGTTCCAAGTAAAAGAAGAGGACCCACTATGGAAGAAATATATCGAGCAGTTTCAGAATCCTCTCATATTATTGTTGCTTGGTAAGTAATAAGTTAATTAAATCAACACACGATATTTTCGTGTGAGAGTTGAATTATGTACTTTTTGATCTAGATTATATACTCGTAATAATTAATATCTTGGTCTTGAATTTAATTAAATAATTGATTGTGATATCAATTTTAATTTACTTAACATCTTATTTTAGTTTTGAATAACAAATATGTACTAAACAATTACAACATATATATAATAACAAGTAGGTAGTTAGATTTAAAGGTTAGTCTATATATTTATTGTTACATTTTATACTAGATATTATATTTGTGATTTATTCATATTTATACGCACTTTTGCATTTTATCAAAATAGAGCGAACTTAGTTCCATTATAGAGCATATATTTAAAACTAAAACACCTTTACTATTAGTCTAAATAAAAAAAAAAACAATTCCAATTTCTAATTATAAAAAAAACTTATAGAATTATCGTGTGCTCATATAGCGTGTCTATTTACTTTATACTATCTTTGCCACAGATTTCTTAGATGTGGCGATATTGCTCTTGGAACCTGTTCCCAGTGTTTTTTACGGCTCGACACGGTTCGCTAAATACCATAATATACATATACCTACTTATGTAACGTCATAATAAACATTCTAAACTTACATTTGTTGGTGTCTTACTTGAAATAAAAAAAAACGATATTATACTTAGAATTTCTTATAATCAATTTAAGTGGCTTATTTAATTAGTTTAGTTTTTACCTGTGGCTTCGCTCGCGTGGTAAGCGATGGGATCAAAGTTAGTGTATGTCCATCCTCAAGATGCAGTTAATGTCCTTGTAAAATTTTATCGAAATGAGTTCAGCTATTTTAACATAAAAAGGCAACAGACAAAGTTCCTTTTACGTTTATAATATTAGTTCGGTTGATACAATTGATACAGTAATAAAATTGTGGGCAGAGAAGGGGTCCGCTTGGTCCATATTAATTTATCCATTGGAAGTGCGAAATAGTATCATATCACTAGAAGGAAAAGAATGAAATTTTAACATAATTCGTCTATAGAACTTTTGGCACGGCCCTGCTCATATTTTCACTGAATTGTAGGTCACTGTCTGTTTTATTTGAAAGTTTAGAACCAAAAAAGTTTACCAACTGTACAACTGTAGTACTTTGGGGGGAGGGGAGGGAGGGGGGTTAAATTATATGGGACTATACTTTAGCTATAACTTAAAAACGTAAGGTAACACCTATTCATTAAACAAAGAATTGTTAATATCGGTCCACACTTGGAAAATACATCGAGTAGTAAAATTACCACAAAAAGAAAATAACAATTGGGATACCCACTCCTTTTTGAAATCGGTCAAAAGCTAAAATGCCACTTAATTTTTTTTTATATTTTCGTTGCACTTTTAGTGCTATACTAGCGAATTATCCTCGTTTCACTCGGGTGCGTTCCTAGGTAGGTTTTTTTAACAGAATTCTAATACTTTTTATAAAATAAAAGTATCCAAGTTGCACCTTGTAACATCAGCTATCTGGCAGTGAAAGTACCTCAAAATCGGTCCAACCGTTTCGGATATTAGCCGGATCAAACAGACAGACAGACAAAATTTTCAAAAATTGTTTTTTTTTATTAGTACCGTATATAATTTCATATGCATTTAGTAAAAAGCTGTTATTTTGACATTACAATCAGACGCTTCAATTATTATTTATCTGTATAGATACTCGTATATAATCGAAAGGCCATGCATGATCACCGTTTTGTTTAGTGAGTTAGGTCTGCTACCTTTATAAAGAAGAGCTTTTTGTAAGCTTAAGCTAAATTTTCATTTTGACTATTATTTATTAATTAAAAAAATAACTGATGATTGAATGACTGAAAAATCGAATGATTTTATCGCGATTAAATATAGAATAAAAAAATTGTAGATGTCTTCTTTTACTTTCCAAATATCACCAAAAACCACACATATTTTAAAATATATAATATATAAAAAATATATTAAAGTAATGAAAACTACTTATTGTAATTATTATAAACCTAATGACAATTTTATTATCTGTCGTTACGAGTATATTCGTTTCATTACATTTATGAAAACTTTTTTTACAAAAAAAAAAATATTTTTATATAATATTGAAATTAATTACTTACAATGACATTGATACAAAGTCAGACCCTCGTAGCTATTCGATCGATTTAATACCAAGGACTTGCAGCTAGTTGAAGCAAGTTTTTGTTTGCATTCTGTAAGGAATTATTATTTGTTCGTTATAGTACTTATAACTATGTGTAGCAACTGTCTGTAACAACTATACCTTCGAGACATCTAACACCTCAGTCTCTCCCGTGACCATGATTGCTGTAAACCATTCGAAACGTCTGGAACCAAAAGTCCAAATAATTCCGCGAAAAAATCCTAATATTCATTCATTTACTATACATACATAATCAAATATTTTCGAAGTCGGTGTGCTTTGGCTAAGTAATTAAAGCCTACCAATTAAATACATACCTAATTTAATATTTTTGAAATCGGTGCCAGTCCATACAAAACAAAGCACACCGACTTCGAAAATATTTGATTAGATAGGTATGTATAGTAAATGAAAACTACCAATCAGTTATTTTTTACTCTTTAGTGCTTTTGTTTGAAGTCGGTTTTTATTTCTTTTATAAAAAGTTTTTATTTTTTCTAAAACTACTAAACTACTACGCTGCTGTCTTTAATTTTATCAATAAAAAAATTCTAAACGAGCACTAGTTTTGTTAAATATGCTTGCCGTAATTTTAACTCAAACAAAAGTTTTTATTTTAGCTCAAAGCTATTATATGTATTTATACCTCTAGTAATTAAATAACACGGAAGTTAACATTCTGTCTTCTTATAAATTATAATTAAAATACGATTATAAAATTAAATGAGATTTTTATCACTAACTATATAAAGCAATATACTTACATATTTTATTATTACGACTTCCAAAAACTAATATATTTATAATAATATTATAACGTTTTATTCATTGTTTTTTTATTTATTTGAACGCGCTTATCAGGTCTAAAATCATTTATTTCTCAAAAGAATATTACAATTCACTTATGTGAGAGATCACATTAGCTAAAGCTTAACTTAATACTTTATTGTGGACTAAGATCCCGCTGCGAGATTGCTACGTTCATAGCGTATTTAATGATTCTAGCGGGCAGATTTTAATAGGAACCCCGGTCAAAACATATTGTCTCTTTTATTATTGTATATAAAAAATTGATTTCGATTAAATACTCTATGAACGTAGCAATCTTGCAGCGGAATCTCGATCCATTGGGTTTATCGAAAATTCACAGGCAAGACAACTAACAAGTAGAGTGTAAGATTAAAAAATGTTCACATAGGTTAACAGAATAAGCGCAACTGGAACAGTTATTGCTCTGTATTTAATTTATACAAAATTTTACGATATATTATAATAATTTAATATATGCTTATAATTTAAACTTCAGGGAATCACACAGATTGGATTTTTTTTATCTTTTTGTTAGACTTGTTACGAACAGTTAGTATATTCGGTGGGTTTTCTGGCCGAAAAGCCGAATGTTAGGCAAACATCTAAGAGAAAACTATTGCCCAAAAATGTAAAAAAGTAGCCTTTTTGCATCATAATGTTCGACTTTTAAATTTTAATTATGATAATGCGAGTGCCATTTATTTGATAGTTTTTTTTGTTAATTTTTATAATAAAGAAGGTGATTAGGTACATACGACTACTGTAATGATTATAAGAAAAATATATTATAAAATAAATCAATATTTTCATTTTACCAATTATCTGATTACTATAAAACACATAACGTAAGTATTCGGTATTCGGCTGATTTGTATCTAGATTATCGGTATTCGACCGAATAGGATAAAAGTAGCCGAATAGGCCGAATATCGAATAATAGCCGAATATTCGTTGCAAGTCTATTTTTTGCTTATATATTGAAGTTCTATGGCCATAGAATTATATATATACTCATAACGGAGTTTTTGGCTGTGTAAAATGGCGCAATGTTAGGAGACAAAACGAGACTAAGTAAAGATAAGATATTAGACGTTATTATTTTCCGTGATAAAAGTATACTTGATTACATTGTATCAAAAGGCTGTGTATAACCTTTTCATATATGAATTATAATATATTTTAAGGTGGCCACATTGCAAGCGAAAACAACGAAAACTTGTTATACCTATAGTTTTTATGCGCTTAAATCTTTTGAGGTGTAGGTAAAAATATTACATTTCATGCACATGCTTATTCATGAACTGGTATGGTTCAAGAAGCATGTGCTATTTTTATGTTCTAAGAAATGAAATAGATAAAATCTATATTTGCTATATGATTAATGTGAGAGTAGGTCTGTCTGCCTGTTAATCTCTCCTTGCTTAAACCACTAAACAAATTTCGATGAAAGCCAAAAACAGATTTCATCAAGGGGACCGATATACAGGGCCGGAATATCCATAAGACAGTTTAGGCGACTGCCTATAGGCCCCGCATCGGCTAGGGGCCGCACGCACGGAGAAAAAAATTTGAAAACTTAAAAAATTTGGTGAAAATTTTACCATGAGCACAAATACAACAGTTAGATTTTTATGTAATCTACCTAATATTATTATGAATATAATTGCATTGTGGTAGAAAAAAGGTATTTTAATAAGATAAAAAAGGTTGAAAGGACCTCGAGAATTGCCATTGCCTTTTGGGCCCCGACATGGTTAATTCGGCTCTGCTGATATAGAACTACCTTTTACCTGATTACCATGCGAGTGGAGATGCGACAAAAGATAGTAGTTTATAAGTGTTATTCCTTAGTAAAGATTCCTTCCTAGTCATATTTATCTGAATGTAGCATGCCGGCGAGTATAAATCTATCACGCGTGAACGGCTGGACCGATTTAACTAATTTTTTTTGTTGTTTTTGTTATTATCAGGAGAAGGTTCTTATGAAAGAAAAATTTTAAAAATTGGGCGGAAAATTA